TAATGTAAGAAACATATGGGGCCTTCCCTTATGACATCAACTCTCTTGACATGAGTATAACATCAGGAATCATCATCATCATCATCATGTTCTGATTTTGTTATGCTTTAAATGAGAAATGATGACAGAAACCCCAGGAAGAAATTTTACACTAGATAAAACTGGCTGGTAAGCATGTAATTTATGTAAATTGCTTCTTTCAGTTCCAATATTTTGGACACCTTCAAGGCAGTTTAGGGGCTGGGGGAAACCCAGGCCCTCTGCTGGGATTATGGTGTTACAGTATAATTCAATATTCACTTTCTGACCAAATTGAATGCTAAATGTTAGTATGCTCTGAGGCTTCCATGTGATTTAAAGACATGACAGCACAGAATTTGAAATTGTGTGGAAACTATAGGATTTCCCCATGAAGGCATTTGTGCTGTATATGTAGATGCCTTGTTGCATATGACACCAAATGTAGGACTACTTGGCATAGCCTCCAGCCCACACACATAGTGATTTTAACTATATGAATCATGCTGTAATACAGCTTGGCAAAAGAGATGTTTTTTGGGGGATGACTTCTTGAATATTCTAACCAGCGGCTGTGGGATCCTGGGAGTTAATAACATTTCCATGCTATACAGAATAAAGTCATCAGCTTGCTCAGATCTCAGATTCTGATTGTAGCATTCCAACTCCTGGGAAAGTCTACGTTCATAGATATCTATTTGCAAGGACTTTCTACTTTGGACAACCAAGCCTAATGCGTGTTTGCAAGGATTGGAGCAAAGGTAGCTGGGCATGGGGACAGCAATGTGATTTAGCAAATTGCGTAATATATCTAAACTATGTATCCTTCACCAGTCAATATTATATATCATTGAACATACTATATACAAGAAGATCTGTAACAGTGACTTTAAAAAAATGCTCACTATATTCTCAGCATAAACACAGTTTCCCTCTCAAGTACTCTTGGAATAGTGACTCTTTGGACAGAAAAATATCTTACATCTGATTCCTGGCCTATCTGCTCATACCTCATATGCCAGTGGTATATCCTTATCAGGTTAATGATAAGTGACAGAATAACTGAAAATGTAAAATGCTATCATCAGCGCTTTAGTGTAAAATACCACTGAGCACTCTGTACTTCTTCCCTTAACTTTTATACCACAGAGCAAAAATGTTATCATTCTTCTTTTCTTCTTTTTTCTTTTTTTAAAAAAATACATAGAAAGTGGCAACTCTCCAGAATCATGCTACATTCTTCTCATGATTCATCTCATGCCAAGACTCAGGTTTTAAAATCAGAAAATGAGAATGCTACAAACAGCATCTTGATGATTAATGTCCCCATGTATCCCCATGTATGGGGGCTTGGATGCTGGTGTTCTTTATTAGTTAAATCACAGGATATCACCAGAGTGTTTAGAACTACACTGCTTGAACTATTCCCTTGCATTTTCAGATTTCAGACAACTGTGCTTGTGCAATGGCAGGCATTGTGATTTTTATTAACAATCATAGCCACATTTGCAAAGAAGTCTATACCAATGAGACAATGAATTCTAGGTTTTAGTTTGAATGTTGAAGGAGCTATCCTGGTGTTGAACCTATTTTGATTTTACATAAAAGGTTTTTTTCTTCAATTGTTTTTAGAAACAACCTAGAGGAATCAATATAGGTACAACTCGTCTTAAACATTTTTACATACTAAAAGATAATATTCCATAATTGTTTTTTTAATTTTTCTCAGGGAAAAAAACTTCAGGGGAAAAAATGAAACCATTCTACCCCTCCTGGCTTTTTCTGTTTTTTTCCTATTTTGCTTTCCCACCCCAGTGACCTTCATATCTCTATTTAAACTCATCAGAAATGCACATGCTATCACTCATTGACTGCTTTTCTTAACTCTAGCACATAATTCCTAACAAAGCAGATATTTTCTAAACATGAGGAGCAATTAAATTTAGTTCACCATACCATTGTAGAATGATTCTTTTCCCAGAAAATGTATGTTGTCACAAGAGGGAGCGTTACTGCGGACATAGAAGGCCAAAAATACCCATCATCAAATAACTAAAACCAAAACCAATACATTTGTAATTCAAATTGCTGGTGTGTGTGTGTGGGGGGGATGGTAAGGATTTGTATGATAGTTTCATTTCTCACTCCCAATTACTCTTTGTAATAAAAGTTGACTTTTCTACTTTATGGTCCTTCATTCACACACATAAAGGAAAAGAGTTAAAAGCAGACTGCTAGTTGATCACAATATGTCACTCCTGCTTCATCACACTGACATTTAGCTTTTTAATGCCATCATTGCAAATTTGTTCTGAAAGCCAGATCCTGTAAAAAGAAATGCAGAACCTGTCTATATTTTTCACAGTGCTTCTGTCATCCGTTCTCTACAGTTCCCTACTTTGAGATTTATGAAAATCAAGGTGGGAGGGAGAGAAGTCCTGTTATTTTTCAATGCAGTCTCTCTTGACTTCTAAGGAATGTTAGCAAACTGAAAGAAGGCCCCATACATACTCATGCCCTGTTCTTTCTTACTTCTGGCATTCTCAGTGAACCAAAAAAGCCTTTTATTTTAGTATAAAGGAACTTGTTGAACAGATAAGGACTTCCCTGACTATTCTCGGCATTTCAGCTTGTATGGGAAATCTGCCAGTATTTGCCAAACAGTTTCTGAGAGCCATGGCACTGAAAACTATGAGAATTCTTGGTCCACATTTGTTTTCCTTGTATAAATAAATCAGATGTAGGGAATGTCTGGCCCTCCAAATGTTGTTGGGTTTCAAAACATCCATCTTCCCTGACCATTGGCTATGCTGGGTAGGGCTGTTCAGAGTTGGAGGCCACCACAGGGTTGCCAGCTGAAAACTGGAGAGTGGTCCTGTGCCTGTAACAGTTGTACAAAACAGGGAATTTTTGCAGGTATTGCTTGTTCTGCCATGAGGTAATAAGCAGCAGATACTGAAATTCCTCCTTCTAGACAGCCATTAAAGGTAATGGAGCCTCCCCCATTTTTCACTCTGATAACCCGGGCCACTAAGATCTTTTCCTTGCCTTCAGCTCTGCCATGAGCATAAGGACCTCCTCCTAACCTACTGTTGTGGCTACCAACTGTGGGGAGACTGTCAAGTACCTATGTGAGATATTATACAACTTATAAAGTATGGATTTTAAATTGGATGATTTTAATGTGTCCTATGTTTAGGTGTTTTAACTTAATATGTTTAAATGGTTTTATATGTTTTAATCTATGCTGTACCTCACCTTGAGCAATGGGGAGAGGCATCATCATCATCATCTAATTTCCCCACTGAACACATCCCTTCTTTATTCACTGCTGCCACCACAGACACCTTGTCTGAATCCAAGCTTTCTAATAGGTCATGTTCCCAGGGGTCAAGAGCATATAACTACAAAAACAATACTTACCCCTCCCAACAGTTCCTCATCTTATTATCTTTCATACACAGTGCATATATATCCAAATTACCTTAATATATATTGTAAATTAAACAACACTTTGCATCAAAGGTGCATGACATCACAATCCTGTCCTGCAGACCCCAGTTTTTAGGCTCTGTATATATATATATATATATATATATATATATATATATATATATATATATATATATATATGGGGGGGTCTGCTCTTGTGAGGTGTACTTTTTCCAACAGCACACTATCTCTGCCTTGTATTTTCCTAAGACAACATTCTCTGCAGCCAACAATTTCACACTGTCAGTAAGAACAGAAGTTTTTAAAGCTGTCACCTCACTGAAGACATTTTCTGGGAAAAGAATGTGATCAGTTTCAGTTTGTGGAAGAAGGTGTATCTCAGCAGTAAACAATGGTAGTAAAGCTAACTCTCCAGATGCCATTGTTCTTCTCTTATCACAGGAAAAAGCAAATGAAAAGTTAACAAATGTTTGGAGGCACCAGGAAATGTGGGAGGCAGCTTTTGCTGCATGAGAGTATGCTACTATCTACTCTGATAACACTTCGATTGATCAGGTGCCATAGTCTCAAATGGACAGTCAATGATAACCCAAAATGAATAGCCAATGTGTGATACTATTGGGTTATATCCTAGTATTTGTTAATATTCTCAAGTATAAATCTTTTTAATTTGGCCTTTTACAGTTTTTATTTTAAAGCAGAACTTGGTAAGTTAATTTGGTGGTTTAATAATGTCTTTATTGTTGTATTTAAAGTCAATATAATTATGGGCTGCATCAATAGGGGCACAGGGTCCAGATCAAAAAAAGTAGTAATACCACTCTATTCTGCTTTGGTCACCTGGAATACCGTGCCCAATTCTGGGGACTACAGTCCCTAGGTTGGTGTCACCCGGTGCAGTAACTCATTGTGTCAACCCCTCCCCCCATTGACCTCCTATACCAAATCACACAGAATCCTTAGTCATGGTTTTTTGTATTAATGTTACTCATAAATCATTATTCCCATATATATATATATATATCACTAAATATAATGCCAACAGTTTTGTCATACACAACTAGCAAAATTAGAATTACACCTTTCAATTGCAATTGCATGCTAGATGGATGGACTCTGTTAAGGAGCTCACAGGTATGAATTTGAAGGAATTAAGCAGAGCAGTGGAGGAAAGGAGTTTTTGGAGATGTCTCATCCACAGGATCGCCATGGGTCGTGACAGACTCAAGGGCAGTTAACAACAACAACTCCAGAGTTATAGTCACTCAAACCACCACACAACGCTGGCTCCAACAGTTTTAAAGTACTGATGTTTTCATATGGTGGTTTGTTTAATTTTTTACAAAAACCTTTTTGAGTCATTACATTTTTTGTTGATGTTGTGTGCCTTTGAGTCATTTTTAACTTACGGCAACCCTAAGGCAAGCCTATCATGGGGTTTTCTCAGGTTTCTTCAGAGGAGGTTTGCCATTGCCATTGTCTGGGGCTGAGAGAGTGTGACCTTCCCAAGGTCACCCAGTGGGTTTACATGGCCAAGCAGGGATTTGAACCCTAGTCTCCAGAGTCATAGTTCAGTGCTCAAACCACTATGCCATTCTGGCTCATTAGATTTTTTTAGGTGACTGAATTTCTGATGTGTCTCATATTGGGAGAAAGGTGGGGTATTAAATAATTAATCATAGAATCATAGAATCCTAGTGTTGGAAGGGACCCATGAGGGCCATCTAGTCCATCTCCCTGCCATGCACTCCCAAAAAGTGCCCACCCAAACTCTGTTTAAAGAGCTTCAAAGAAAGAGAGTTCAGTCTCCATAAACCTCACCACAAAAACCACATATTGGGTACATTTTTGGCACAACCATAGTGCAAAAACACCCATCAAAGTTGTAGATTCTCGTGGATCCAGAGGACTTTTTCATGGGACCAGTCTCATTCTCTCTGCCCCCTTCCCTCTATTCTTTCCTGGCCTTCACACCCTCTCCCTCTGTCCCCAGGTTCTCCCAATGTGTTAGCTGGACCGTGTGAATCCAGCCAGGGCTGGAAGTGTGGGCAGAGATGAGACACAGCTCTTCTCCCCCCACAGCCTAAGTGTATTTACATGCACATAGTTTCATGTGGTTAAAGTGAAAATGTGAATTTTTAAAAGAAAATTTAAACAAATAATTTAAATATTTTTTAAATTAAGTTTTGAAAGTTGAATGATGTCACACACACACTCATAGGGTGTTACCTGGTATGATCCATATCCCCCACACCCCCTAGTGACACCACTGAAGTTCAAGAAGGATATTGACAAACTGGAACATGTCTAGAGAGCAATCAAGATGATCAAAAGTCTGGAAGCCAAGCTTTATAAAGAATGACTTACAGCACTAAATATGTTTAACTTGGAGAAGAAAAAAAATCAGCCATCTTACATAGCTGAAGGGATGTCCTATAGAAAATAGAATCAGTTTGCTTTCTACTACTCCAAAGATAAGAACTCTAACAATGGATTCAAATGACAAGAGAAGAGATTCTACCTAAATATCAGGAAGAGCTTTTTTTTTAACCTGTAAGAATGGTTTGAGATTGGAATAGATTGCTTTAGGGTGCATATGTGCTGGACTTTCCATCTTTGAAAGTCTTTAACAGAGGCTGCCTGAGTATCTTTCAAGGGTACATGCAGACATGGCATGGCAAGAAGTTGGATTAGATGACTCTTGGGTCCCCCCCCCCTTCAACTCTTAAGATTATATTATTCTAATGAGTATGGAGTTCCAGCTATCATGAAGCTCAACTTTCAGCTTCCAAAAAACCCAAGCCTGAATGCAATGTAAGGAAACAGGTCCAGAAGTCATTATCTGTACGTCAAATTACAGGTCATGTAGCCAACATATGACCCCTCTGCTCTCACTCTCTTTCTCTCTGTTTTTCTCAGACATTAGTGCAGGAGGACCCTGCTGTAGCTTATTGCCAAAGCTATAACAAAACAGAATCTGACCCTGTTGAACACTCATTTGGTTGTGAAAGTCATAAATAGTTTAAATGCTGAATCTTACTATCTAACAGGGGAAATGCTCAACTTCTTCACCAGCTAAAAGAACAGTTTTAGAATTGTTGCCCTCTCTCATCCAACACCTTTTGGGTTTCTTACAATGGCTTCTGCACAGAGAGATGGAAATATCTCTTCAGCAAAACAGCATCAGCAGCTAATGTCAGTTTTGGTTACCCAGAAAATAGGATTTGTTTGACAGAAACATCACTTTCAGCTTGTTTGGGAACCAATTTTCACAGTCAAAGTTAGAAGTATCAGACTTTAGGGCAAACACAGGTCAGCTAAGCCCGGAGATCACATGGACCATTAATAGTTGGATATAAGAATAGGAAAGAGATAGAAATATTGTATCACCATGATAATGATCATGATCTTTTAAATCATGAAATCTTCTTCTAAAAGTTCGTGAACAAAGATGGTAGTGGCCAAAATCTTGTTACTGATGCATGTGTGTTTTGTACATGTGCATGTCCTGTTTGGAATTAGGTGCAAGGGGCAATTCTCAGACATCTGCATTTCATCCAAGACCAGTCGTCCAGGCAACATACAAACACTGTGGTTCTGCTTTTATGGTACAGTAGAAAGGGAAAGGAAGGAAGGGAAACAAACAGTAGAGACTGCCTCTCATCCTTCTTCTGTTCATTAGAGAGAGAGAGAGGAATGAAATCATTATTTGTTTTTCTCTCTGCAGCGAATTGCAGTAGGACAAGAGGCAGTCCTATTGTTTGGTGTTCTCCTTCCCTCCCCTGTTGCTATTTAATGGCCATAGTTGTGGCCCCACAGAACTTTAAAGCCACCTGGGATGGGGGAAGGAGTCTGGACTAGGTGTGTGGAGCAGTTACATTCTGTACACTGTCTAGGATTTTTGTGATGGAATCAGTGATAAATATTCTTTCTTGTTGTTTTTCTAAATGTTATATGCCCTTTTAACATTCAGTAGTACTGCTTTAGCATGAGTAGGTATTCAGATTTAGGTCACAAGGTACTACGAAAAGGGCATAATAAGAGCAGTTATTGTAGCCATGCCACTTTAGTTTCATTTATCTCAATTGGACGTATGCCTTATTAAATTGAATCTAGGTTCATTAGCAAAACGAATACACCCTTGAAAAAGAAGTTACATTCTGTGCACTATCTAAGATTTTTGTGATGCAATCAATGATAAATATTCATTGTTGTTGTTGTTATTGTGTGCCTTCAAGTTGTTTCTGACTTATGGCAACCCTAAGGTGAACTTATGAGGTTTTCTTGGCAAGATTTGTACAGAGGAGGTTTGCCATTGCCTTTCTCTGAGGCTGAGAGCATGTGACTTGCCCAAGGTTACCCAGCATGTTTCATGGCCACAACGGGAATTGAACTCTGGTCTCCAGAGTTGTTGGCCAGCACTCAAACCACTACATCATGCTGGCTCCCATTAATATTCTTACGAAATATCACTAAAATCACACACACACACACAAAACACACATCCAGAGTCATACTGGAACAATGGCTTCCGGGGGATACGTGTTTTGCTAATGAACCTAAATTCAAGTTAATAAACATAGGCAAACCTCATACTGAGATAAACAGAATTAAAGTGCCATGGCTCTAATAACTACTCTGATTATGCCCCTTCTGTAATACCTTGTGACCTAAACCTTTAAACCTACTCATGCTAAAGCAGCACTTTTGAATCTTAAAAGGGTATATAACATTTAGAAAAATCAGCTACAAAATATACCACTTTTCTGTATAAGATTCTTCACTAGTTCAGTACATATGGTATGTAAAATACATGAACTTGGCATAGTTCCACAAATCTAAGATTCTTGACATTTAGCCAAATCTGAGGGCATATTAAACAAAACCTCTATAAACAATGCATGCAAAAAAAACCCCAAACAATCCCAGTCATCAGTTATTCACTTTCTAAATTTCCCCATTCTACCTTTTTATAAAAATAACTCTAACATTAGGCATTCTTAGCCCTGCATGTGCAAGCAATGCCATTGTTGAGCTGTTACTAGTAACAATGGCCCACGTTATACTATAGTGGTTTCAAAGTTGGACTAGGACCAACTAGAATTTGAATCTCCACTTGGCCATGAAAACCCACTGGGTGGCCTTAGGCAACTCACACTCAGCCTCAGAGGGAGGGAAAGGCAAATCCCTCTCTGAACAAATCTTGCCAAGAAAACCCCATAATAGGGTTGCCATGAGTCAAAAACAATTTGAGGGTACTTCAACAAGTTTTCTACCTTCCATTTTTTGAAACCCAGACTCCATCTGGCTCCTAAAAATTGCTGCTCTGATTCATGTTTCATAGTCATAATGACTAGAGACATTCTTTGTCTTGGAAGCTTATCGCACAACTTTTCAAATCGGCTTACCTCTCCCGGTTTAAATTTTAATTTGGCTGGCATCCTGATATTATCGCAGCGATTTTGCCACCGAATCTGCTGCCTGGGTCCATCTCGGGTCCATCCCCGCTCCCAGGAGTGCTCCAGTGACCATTTTCCTAAGCTGGAAAACTTTGAAAAGAGGCACACTGAGCCCCCCTGGGAGTGGGGATGGACCGGAGATGGACCCGGACAGTGGATTTGGCAGCAAAATTACTGTGATAATATCAGGATGCCAGCTGAATTAAAATTGCCAGCTGAATTAAAATTTAAATCAGAAGAGGTAAGCTGATTTGAAAAGCTGTGCAATAAGCTCCTTTGTCATGGCTCATTATGGAATGAAACCAAACAGCTTCCTTTTTTTTTTTTTTTTTACAGAAGAGTAATCATTTCCCCAAACATGGCCATATACGTCTTTGGAAGTCAGTACTTTTTCAGCTACTTGTTCAATACCCATACTTCACTTAATCAATGAATACAGAATGTTAATTAGTTGAGAGATGAAATTGGAAACAAGGGGTGGTCTGAATCGATAACTGTAAATGTAGCCATCAAAATGCTATTATCATAAACTGACTTAGGGCCTTTGCAGACTGCCAGAAATAGTGCAAATTGAGTCCACTTTAAATTGAGGCACTGCCCTGGCTCAGTGCTAGGGAATCATGGGAATTGTATTTTTTTCTAAGACATTGAGCCTTCTCTGTCAGAGAGCTCTGGTGCCACAATAAATTACAGTTCCCATAATTCCCTAGCACTGAGCCAAGGCAGTGCCTCAATTTAAAGTAGACTCAATTTGCACTATTTCTGGCAGTCTGCAAAGGCCCTTAATCACTGGAAATATAGAACTCCTTTCTGTGACATTTAAGAACCACAAAGTGCTGAACACCTGCTGCTCCTCTAATCAACATTCCAGTCTTGTCAAGAATATAAATATATATATAAAAACTGACCCTAGGTTGAAATCATTGCATGATTGGGTTGGGTTGGGTTTGTTCCAAAGACTATGGGGGGAAGCAGACGAGGGCGTCCAGGACGCCCTGC